CGCCGACTTTAACGAGTTGTCGCTTCTTATAAATTTACGTTCTTTGGTGGAATCAAAGAATGGAACGATCGGAATCGCAGTTATTTTGTAAAAATATCCCTTTCGCGTTATCTGGCATCTTTGTTATACTGTCATTAAAGTAGTTAAGGACGTTGGCAACTCTAAATAGTGTTGCCAGCTCATTTGCATAATAGGTGTGTACTCGTATTGAGTGGACAAAATTATCCAGCAGCGAAAATTCTGAGCATTTAGCAGCATTTGCTCTCAAAAAGACAAAATATCCACAGAACTACGAGATCGTAAAATTTGCAAAAACTTACAACTTTCGAAACAGCTGATCACTTCCACAGTTTCCACTCGTGGTTCATTTGGCAATTTATTTCCTGCTTGGTATATTTTCTTCAGATTTGGCATTTTATACAATTGATTAGTTTTTGATAAGAAAACCCTTTTCAAAATACAAATTAATTATATCGGAATGAATATATTATTTTTCTCATAATTATTTGTGATATCACATGGTGACGCATTCAAACACAAGGGAATATCCTCCAAACATCCATTATTGATCCAAAAAATTAATAGATATAGCTACAAATGTAGCTTTGAAATTATAAAATTTTCATTTCAAAAATCAACCGACTAAAACCGACAGACTGGATGAAAACCAGCAAAGCAAAATGAGTATACGTACAGGAAGTTTGAACAAAGAACGTAGATAACTACGATTATCTACGTTATTTGGTAAAATGAGTTTTGAGTGGAGCACGTACGTTCGCCTTTTATCCATATATTTACATTTACATGTGCATTTGTATACACAACATACTTCAACATAAATCTACCAAAATGAGAAAAAATGTACCTCTTTACCAACTTAAATTTTTTCTACCAATTTGGTAACAATTTACTAAAGTGGCAACCCTGGTGGTGGGAGACGAGAAAAACAAAAATTTTTTCCAATAGTTAAAAACTTTTGTTTATAATATAAATTTAAAAGTATTGAAGCGAGTATAAAACTCTTAGCACATAGTAGTTTACATCAGCAAGTATATTGCTAACGTTAACCACTATAACAGTAAATTAGATGTTAATTTAGATGGTACGAAAACAATAAAAATATATGCGGATGGATTAGAAGCAACCAGAAATTTTAGTGAAGTGACCACAACTAAATTGAAAAGGAATAATTTTTCGTGTGTTACACGTACTAGCTTGCAAAGATAACCAATATCCAAGGCGTAAGGCGTAGTAAGCGTGGGAAGGGAAAAGGACCCTCAGCAAAAATACCATAAGCATCGAAATTGCTGCCCAGTGGAGGCCTGGTACAAAGCGCCGTAATGAGCAGTGCCAATGCTAGTTCTGAACATGACACTACAGGACAGAAATTAAAGACTGAAGCCAGTAAAACGGGAAAAGAAAATGGATGGCTGTCGTATATTGTACCCAGCATGCAGAGAAAAATTACAAAACTTAATTATGACTTGATAGAAGAATGTAAACGGTGCAAGGAAGATTCAAGTTTATCCAAAACGATATGTGATGAATTAGAAAGGTAAGCCAAGAAATGTAATTATTTTACTTAGAAAAGATGAATCTACATATGTTGGTTAAAAAATAAGATACAACATGACAATTTTAAAATAACAAGGTTAAAAGTTATCTGCAGGGCT